AAAAAAAAAAAAAAAAAATGTTTGTTGATTAAAATAGCATCAAAAGTTTGGAGGGAAAAGTTCTTCTCTAAGAAAACCTGAAGCACATGGCGACAGTGGAGAGGAACAGATCTGTTGGTGTCGTTCTTTGATGTCACCATCTGTAGCTTTCCTCCCTGCTCTGCTGCTGGTCCGGATGTTCTGGGAGAACCGGACCTGAAGGTTCTGTCTAACGTCTCATTGTTAACATTCCAGAGTTCTGAGCTGAACCCGTGGAGGACAGAGAAGATTAGGGTGATGGTATGTAGGCTCTAGCTTTGTCAGTTTATAACGAGATCGGCTTCCAGATCTTTAGGGTTCTGATGCGATGATGATGTCATCAGCAGGTCAACCCCCCGCATCATTTCATCTTTTAAAAACAGTTTTTTTTTCAAACGGCTCCAATGAACCGATGATCAAACCAACATGTCCGCCGATATCTGAGAGGAAACCTGAGCTCATGCAAAACACAGATTTACATCCTGAATCCTGCAAGACGCTTCCTCCTCCTGCCGGTCTCACCGTTGTTTGCAAAGATCAGATGAAAATGATCCATCAGATTCGTTTAGATGTTCTAACATCTAGGCTTCCATCTGTCCTCTGCTCCTTGGAGGCATCTTCTCATGATGCTCCTGATCTCCACCATCAGCCTCCTCAGCAGATCTCCTTATAATCCCGCCAGATAAACGCTGGAACAGCTCCTTCACTCAAAGCTTTTCTTTATTTTTAAAAGATTAGCTTTTCCAAGTCGACCACTGTGGTCTTCAGGCATGAACATTAATCAGGAGTGGCTTTGAAAATAAACGAGCTGCTGGAGATTCTCAGTCATCCAGGTCGTCGTTCCAAAAAGTTAAAGTTTAAAAAACAAGCAGTTAAAAAAACAATCCACTGGACTTTGTTCAGTGGATTGTTTTTTTAACTTTAACTTTTTGGAATACATGCGAAGAGCAGAGAGGGGGAAAGAGGAAATGATGGAAAAAAAAAAAAACAAAGAAAAACAATAAAGGAGAAGAAAAATAGACAAAAATTAACTCCTAGAAATCTGCATGAAACATTTATCCAAACATCTGATCGTTCTGCTTCTGAGAGCAGCTGAGCCGCTTTAGAAGCTTCTAAACTTTATGGATCAACAAAAAACAGGATTTAAAAACTGAAAAAGGAAATAGTTTTATGGTCGATATTAAACAGATAAATAAATGAACTGAAAATAAATTCAAAGCAGAAGTTTGAGCCGTTTGTCATTAAATTTTAAACTAAAAGTAAATAGTTTTCATTTTTAGGAAGAAGTTATAAAAAAGCTCAGCATGTTTGGGAAAGTTGACATTAGTGAACATGATGGTGAGCAGGGTGGTGATCAGGGTGGTGAACATGATGGTGAACTCTAAACGTTTCCGCTTTATTCAGGATGAAATCAGGGGAAGCCTTGCAGCTACCAGTCACCGCCGCTGGGGGCGCTAATCCCACCAAGCGCTGCGTCGCACCAGAAGAAGATCGACCGGAAGTGATGCAATGAGCGCGCGGAGAGCGATCGGATGAGGATCAAAGGGGATGAAACGAACTTCTAGGTGATTTTCTGCAACATCTGAGAGAGAAAGCAGCTGCAGCGTCACTTCCTGCCTCAGCCTCATGGCGGCGCCCCTCCCCCAGCAGCAGCAGCCCCCCCCCGGGCCGCTCCGGGAGATCTCCCCGGTCTTCCTCTGCAGGATCGGACAGGAGACCGTGCAGGACATCGTCACGCGCACCATGGAGATCTTCCAGATCACGCGCGCCACGCAGGTAAGCTGGTGATGCAGACCCACGGCTGCTCCTCAGGGAGGAGCTGAGGAGGTTCCTGCAGGAGCATGTGGTCCTGAACCTTCTCCTCCTCTGTCTGTCTGTCTGTCTGTCTGTCTGCGCTGCAGCTTCCTAACGGAGTGACGCAGAGCCACGTCATGTACCAGGACCGCTTCGGGAAGCTGCAGGAACATCTGCGGCAGCTGGCGCTGCTCTTCCGGAAGCTGCGGCTGCTCTATGAGCGCTGCGTGGAGATGACCTCTGACCTGCAGGAGGCGCCCATGGAGGTGAGGCTGCAGCTGGATCCGGGTTCTCCTGGGTTCCTCCTGCAGGACTCATGTTCTGTGTTCTGTGTCCTCAGCTGGTCCCCTACGCCGGAGAGGAGCCCGCTTCCATCCGAGCAGAACCCTGCAGCCCGGCCGTCATCCAGGAGCGGCAGGAGGTTCTGGAGGTGAGGGTTCTCCTGCCAACGGTTCCGCTCCGGTCCACTTTTAAACGGGCTTAGAGACCCAACATGACCCAGAAAAGTTCTGGTTCTGATCCAAACTGAAGGAATCTTTGCCTGCAGTTCAGGAATCCAGAACCAAGCGGATCAGAACCAGAAGCGTCCAGTCCAGAACTGTTCTGTTAGGGGACCTGCATCAGGCTTCGGTTCTGGAGGTCAGAGGTGAGAATGATCCGGTACCGGATCCAGTCTGGATCCGGTACCGGATCAACAAGCAGAAACAGGATCTTTGGATCCTGTAGAACCCACAGAACTTCAGTTCTACCAACTGGTCCCAGAACCAGGGAGAAGTTCTGAAGGAGCGGGCTCAGCTCCAGCAGCTGGTTCTCCTGGTGATGAGGGACCAATGATCCGGATCTTTCTTCACATCCCAGGAATGAGCTGTAGCTCCTCACAGCCGCCTGTAGGGGGCAGCAGCGCCTCACTGCTTCCTCATGCTTCAGGGACCTACAGAACAGGGCGGTCCGTGGATCCAGTTCCATGGGTCCGGCCCCGGGGGTCCGGTCCAGTGGGTCAGGCTCCGGGGGTCCGGTCCACTGGGTCCGGTCCAGTGGGTCCGGTCTCGTAGGTCTTGTCCAGTGGGTCCAGTTCTGGGGGTCCGGTCCAGTTAGTCCGGTCTCGTGGGTCCGGCCCCGTGGGTCCGGTTCTGGGGATCCGGTCCAGTGGGTCCGGTCTCGTTGGTCCGGTCCATAGGGTCCGGTTCTGGGGGTCCGGTCCAGTGGGTCCGGTTCTGGGGATCCGGTCCAGTGGGTCCGGTCTCGTTGGTCCGGTCCATAGGGTCCGGCTCCGTGGGTCCGGTCCAGTGGGTCAGGTCGAGTTAGTCCGGTCTCATGGGTCCGGTCCAGTGGGTCCGGTCCAGCGGGTCCGGTTCCGTGGGTCCGGTCCAGTGGGTCCGGTTCTGGGGTCTCCAGCTGCTTGGTTCCTGCTCCTGATGCTCAGCTTTGTCTCCTGCAGAAGGTCCGTCAGAAGAACCAGGAGATGAAGGTTCTGATGGACCAGATGAGGAACCTGCTGTGGGACGTCAACGCCATGCTGACGCTGAAGAAGTGACACTGATGATGATGAAGACCAGAACCCTCCTCTTCCTCTGCTGACTGATGCTGTGGGGGGCGGGGTCTCTGTTCTCTGATGTTTTTGGTAACTGACATGTTTTTGTATGAAATAAAGTTTTTTAGTAAAATGGCGTCTTTGATGATGTCATCTTCATGTTCACCTCAAACCCAGAAGGTCTCCCAGGTTCTCAGCTGCTCCTCCTGCCTGATGGAGGAGTGACGGCGCTGCTCCTCCTGCTTGATGGAGGAGTGACGG